TTCAACAATAGAATACATACAGGGGCTATCATTAATTTGAGACAAAAAGATCTCAGAAGTTTCCTGAAAGACGCTAGAACCTTGACAGTGAGACGGCTGACAGATGCTCTGAGGAGAGAGGGGAATTTGAAAGTGAACGGTGTGTTAGCAGCAAAATTTCAAGTATTGAAAGATGGTGAAACCATTGAAGAAACAAAATATTTCAATACGAAGAATCAGGTGATTCTACCTACCACAAACATCAAGAATTGGTTCAATGAACATCTCACTGAACCATTGATGGGAAAAATAGAGGACTTTGAAGAACGTGATTCTGGGTGGAGTCTAACAGAAATTATCTATCTTATGATAAACATCAACAGATATGTTCCACTCGCAGCAGGTTTGAATACGTACATACTATTGCCTAAGAAAATTCAGTCTAAGAAAGCAGTGATAAACGTAAAAAATAGTGATGAGTATTGCTTCCTGTGGTCGGTTGTAGCTGCTCTCTATCCTGCGAATCGAAACCCTGATAGAATAACTTCGTATCCTCATTATGTCACAGCCACATTACCAAATACGCAGACAAAACTCAGTTACACAGGGATTGACTTTCCAATAAAATTGAAAGATATTCCCAAGTTTGAACATATGAATGGATTATCGATAAACGTTTATGGTATCCAAAATGATGATATTGTACCTGTCCACTTGAGCAAATGCAATTCTGAGTGGCCGACAATTTATTTGCTCTTATACAGCAATAATTTACACGTGGATCCTGACATGCAACCCATTTATCACTTCGCTTGTATCAGAAATTTATCTCGATTGTTAAGATCACAAGTTACAAGTTTCGAACATCGTAATTGGTTCTGTGACCGTTGCTTGGGTCATTTTTCCACGGAAAACTCGTTCCTAGATCATCAAGCTGACTGCTCCAATATCAATCATTGTAAGATGATTTTACCGCCCGAAGAAAAAAATATTCTCAACTTCAAAAATTACAAATTCAAAGAGATGGTACCGTTCGTTGTATACGCGGATCTTGAGTGCATTCTCCAGTCAATGAACGATACATCATTCTCTCAGAAACATATCCCACACAGTGTTGCATTTTATCTACACTGTGCTTTTGATAATACACGATCAGAATTCAAAATTAAGCGTGGTCCTGAGTGTATCGATTGGTTCATTGATGAGTTGCAACGAATAGCTCATGAGACCGATACTTGTTTGAATATAAATATTCCAATGGAACCTCTCACAGCAGAACAAGTTCTAGAATACGAGACTGCATGTATTTGTCATATTTGTGAGAGACCTTTCACTGAGAACGCCTTGAAACATCGAGATCATGATCATTTTACTGGGAAATATCGTGGTCCCGCACATCCTGAATGTAATATCAACTATAAAAATTCTCGAGTTATTCCAGTAGTATTTCATAATCTTTCCGGTTATGATTCCCATTTCTTTATCAAGATTCTAGCAACAAAATATCCAGGTCCACTCCATTTGCTTCCACTGAATAAAGAAAAATATATCGCTTTCACGAAACACATTGAAGGTACTCAAGTCAGTTTACGATTTATCGACTCATTCAGATTTATGGCAAGCAGCTTAGAGAAATTAGCTTCGTATTTGAGTGATGCAGATAAACGTATAACCTGGCAATTTTGTGATAATGATATTGCCAAATTCCGACTTCTAAATAGAAAGGGTGTATTCCCGTACGAATACATCGATAGTTGGGATAAATTAGAAGAGAAACAATTACCATCACGAGAAAAATTTCATTCAAAATTGAATAATGAGGATGTTTCAATGGAGGATTATGCGCATGCTCAGAACGTCTGGAATACCTTTCAAATCAATTCCTTAGGTGAATATTCTGATCTATATTTGAAGACGGACGTTTTACTACTAGCGGATGTATTCCAAAACTTCAGACGTAGCTGTATGTCTGTCTACAAACTTGACCCGCTCCACTATTTCACAACACCTGGATTGGCCTTTGATGCCATGCTCAAATGCACAGGTGTAAATCTTGAGTTACTGACTGATATTGGAATGCATCTGTTTATTGAGAAGGGTATTCGAGGAGGGGTGGCTCAATGTTCAAACCGTTATGGCTGTGCTAATAACAAATATATGGGGAATCAGTTTGATTCCAATAAAGAAGTCAGTTATTTGATGTATTTTGATGTGAATAATCTATACGGCGCAGCTATGTCTCAGTACCTTCCGTATGGATCATTTGAATGGGTTGATCCATCATCAATCGATGTTAATGACATCTTAGATGATTCCCCCACGGGATATATATTCGAGGTTGATTTAGACTATCCCAGAGAACTCCATGAATTACACAAAGACTTACCACTTTGTCCAGAGCATTTCATTCCACCACAGAAGAAAATTCCAAAGCTCATGACAACTTTATTACCAAAAAAATATTACATAATACATTACAAAAATTTGAAACAATGTCTCAGTTTAGGAATGCGAGTGACGAAAATCCATCGTGTACTGAAATTCGCTCAAGCTGCCTGGCTCAAACCTTATATTGATTTAAATACAGAACTGCGGAAAAAATCTAACAATGAGTTTGAAAAAAAATTTTTCAAGTTAATGAATAATGCTGTATTTGGGAAAACTATAGAGAACGTGAGGAAACAGAAAGACGTGAGACTTGTAACAAAGTGGAATGGAAGGTATGGAGCGAAAGCCCTTATTGCTCAACCAAATTTTCATAGTTCTATGATATTCGATGAAGATCACGATTTAGTAATTATCCAATTAAATCGAAATGAAATCTATTTCAACAAACCTATCTACATCGGGTTTTCCATTCTCGATCTATCGAAGACATTTATTTACGATTTCCATTATGAATACATAAAAAAAACTTTTGGTGATCGAGCAAAATTATTGTATACGGACACAGATAGCCTTTTGTACGAATTCCATGTGCCAGATATTTATGATTATGTTAAACAAGATATCTGTAGATTCGATACCTCTGATTATCCGGAAAACAATGTATATCAAGTACCAAGAGTCAATAAGAAAGTATTAGGTTTGATGAAGGATGAATGCAATGGAAAAATCATGAGTGAATTCATTGGTCTCCGAGCTAAATCATACACATTCAAGATTCATGGAGAAACTGGAGAAAAAAAACGAGCTAAAGGAGTTAAAGGAGCAGCTTTGAAAACCATCACATTCGATGATTACAAAAATTGTCTTTTTGATAACAAAAATTTAGTCAGACCGCAGTATTTAATTAGGAGTAAAAAACATGAAGTTAAGACTGTATATCAACAGAAATTAGCTCTGAGTTGGAATGATGATAAAAGGATACTCTGCTATAATACAACTGATACTGTACCATATGGTTATGAAAAATAAAATAAAGACAATATGTATTGTTGGTAAATGTTGGTTTTTATTGTAGTAACAATAAGATAGAATACATGCAATACAAAATACATATAATTATAAATCACTCTCATCAATCCAGCTGTTGTGAGTATCATCGAAGCCCAACCATTTCACAAAAACTTTATTGCCACGTTTTCTGATGATTTTTTCAACGAGATACACATCGGGATATTTCACTTTAGTTAATTCTTCTTGATAGAATCCACCCGCGATCGGCTTATCTTCATAATCCACGAGTTGATATGTCACAGGATTGGTATTGACTACCTCACTGATGGTGAATATTTCTGTAGTCCAGTTGGGTGTATAGCCTTTTTCAAAAACATTCTTATATTTGCTGATTCGCACTTTATCTCCAACTTTGAATTTGACGTTTTTTGTGCGATTCACTGTGAATTTACCATACACATGACGTAAAAGATATTTCTCATGATCCGCAGTGACATCTATGGGTTTCATATGGATTGTACGATGCTTGGTATTGTTATAAGACTGAACCAGATTCTTGACTATAGGAATCCACTTGTATGTTCCCTGTAAGCTGAACTGCTTCCACATTTTCTCTTTGAGTGTACGATTAAATCGCTCACATATGGATGCTTTGAGATTACTGAATGTTGAATACATAGTGATACCATTATCTGCCATCAGAGCTTTGAAATCAGTGTTATAGAATTCTTTTCCTCGGTCTACATGCAATTTTTGTGGTTTACGTCCTTGCTTCAACACAGACTTCATGGCATTCATCACGTCTTTTCCATTCTTAGTTTTAGTCGGCACAGCCCAGGCATATTTAGAAAAAATATCAATAACTGTTAGGAGATATTTGTACCCATTATTCTCACGGGCATAAGCAGTCATGTCAACGAGATCAGCTTGCCAAGTCTCGTCGAGTCCACGCACATCAACATGCCGCCGTGGATAATTTCTTCTAGCTGGTCTGTGAAGCTCCTCAACCACTGCTGCTTTTTTGTCCATTCTCCAATTCGATTAAACGTTTATCCAAGTTAGCGATTATTTCAGAATTACGCAATGCTAAGTCTTGATTTGTATCTTCTTGAATTCTTTTCAATTGTTCCGTAATCATTGGTTGCAGACCATCAAGGATAGATTGCACCTCACGTGAAACAGATTCTTTCAGTGTTGTTAGTTCGTCGCTCAGATGCCTAATAGTCTTGGAATGATCAATCAAGTGCTCTTGTACTTCCTCGTTATCAATACGTTTTTGTCTCATAGTCTTTGAAAAATGTTCTTGGAATGATTGGATCATTATTTGAATTTCATCAATTCTACCACCCATGGGTCCAGTAATATTATATATGAGCCGGATTTCTTCTCTGATCATATTACGCAATATTTTCAAAGAAACTGCATCATCGTCGTCTATAGAATCTGCTAGATTACACAGTCTACGATGATTCATATCATATTGTCCATCAGAAGTAACTTTGAAACCTTCTCCTGGAGGACCGCGGCCACCGGAAGTTCTCACAGCGCTCTTGGAATTACTCAGTTGACGTCCAAATACATCAACACTCATGTTTCAAATGATGCATTATGCTCTTTACAGTCTAATAAATAATCTCCGCCTCTCGTAATTCTTCCATTATTGACATAATTTCATTGGTGTGACTCATATTTCCAGCTGATTGTGACGCCATCAGCAGTCGAAGTCTGTCCACTAGCTCATTAGGATCATCCCAGTATACATAATCCATTTTTCGGGGTTTTATTGATGCAATCATATGATGAGGAAGAGCTTTTCCAGTCTTGGGTTCGATGAGATTAACGATAATGTTCTGATATTTCAGGGAACTGCTTGTTCGAAGAGCTCCAGTGGGTTTATAGTACATTCGATGTGCATTTGTACTTCGTATGATATTGCCATAGATATGCTTATCAGTTTCGGTTATAAGATTCATGTTAGGTGACTTCTTAAAAATCAATTCAATGAGACCCGGAGTTAGTGTATATTCTTGGTCCTTGAGAATCATTGAATTTCCCTGGAAAGTGACTTCAGAATCACCAATTTTCATATCTTTTTTCAAAAATCGTACACCAAAGTCTGTATCCAGCTCTCTCTTCTCACGCTCTGTATTGTACCGATCCAAATACGTTTGAAGAAGCTTTTGTGGAGCTATAGGGGATTCTAACATAGTTGATGGGATACGATCAGAAGGACTCATAGCCTTTATTGAGGATTCTTTCTTCATAGGAGTACTGGTATGTGGTGTTTCTGAGCCAGATGGAGGTTCATCAAAAGATTGATATTGAGAAGGATCATATTGAGAGTGATATTGAGAAGGATCTCCATAGTCATCGTCCTCTGTTTTCCGCGTCCGCATATGAGTACTAGATATCTTCTTCTGTCTTTTCGTTTTATGTGAAGGTTCCTTCGTTTGATCCACCAATTTCTCGAGAGGAGTTATTATGGGTTTGAACACTTCACTCACAGCTTTTTCAGTGCTTTCTCTTCCTAATTTGATCATTTTATGTTTGCGGCGAATGGCATCACTCGCTTGAGTGATATTCCGCAAGACATTTGTCTCTTTCTTGAAATTTTCACTTTGCATGTTGACACTTGTACTGCCACGCAACAACTACTCTCAAGTTCTTCGATTAGTGTATATTTATCTCCTCATGAAGCAATCAAATCCTTTACGATATCGACCTTCATTAAGCTTACTATCTTTATCAATTACAATGAAACTATATTTGCCCTCATTCCAGCATTTTGCACACAAATCCTTGAATTCTACGAAAGACATATCAGTATTAACATGATCCTCATGAATGTGCTTTAAATTCATTTCATCTTGACGGAAAAGTATCAGTAAATTTGTATTGTCACGTACAAGATGTTTCGGTATACGAGCATATGTTTGACATAGATAAAAACTGTCAACATCTCTATGTCGCCCCATGCAGAAAAATGCTCGCATATTGTCTTGTTTCTCACAAGCAACATCATCGAAAATCATAATGGAATTTGGTCGAGCGTTTTCAGGTTTAATGACTTCATCATGTTCACTATAAGCGAAATAACCTATTCCCTTTATACCAGAGAGTAAACGTTTGAGGAACTGATATTTCGGTTGATTTAGAGATTTCGAATACACATAGACATTCTCAAATCTTAAACCATTAGGGTGGACTATGAGAGCCAGGAGAGCGTTCGTTTTCCCACAATTTGAGGGTCCACAAATAACTGCTCGTACAGTACTAGGTAATAGTGGTCCATGACGCCTGTTCTTACTCTTCTTCTTTTGCGTAAATTCATCGAAATTCATTATTGGCAGTTGAGTACTCTGCTTCTTGAACTTCATGATTAATGACTGAGCAAAGAATTATAAATATCGCTCATTTATAGATTTCGGTGGCATTCACTCACTAGCAGTTACTGTTGGATCATCATCACAGTTGCCCCATCCTCAAGGCTTACACAGATTTAATCATGTCTCAGGGAATTATCTTGTTCCATACCCCTCCATGTTGCAGCGATGACTGGCATGCAGGCTTATAAATACGCGCTATTTATCTAATTATCAATCAGTTTCTTCTTGGACATGAAAGAGTACAAACACAAGAGAGGACGTCCAGGCAGAGGTTTAGTGAACAGAATCCTCAACAAACTTCCTGTTGAATTACATATACCAGGGTATCAGTATTGTGGTCCTGGAACAAAATTGCAAAAACGATTGGAGCGGGGTGATCCTGGTATAAATCCACTTGACGCAGCTTGCAAAGAGCACGATATAGCCTACTCGAAAAATCGAGATAACCTAACTGCGCGACGCGAAGCTGATAAAATTCTCGCGGAAAGAGCCTGGAAACGAGTTCTGGCGAAAGACGCAAGGTTAGCTGAAAAAGCTGCTGCTTGGGGTGTAGCTAATACTATGAAAGCAAAGACCTCTCTCGGAATGGGTATGAAAAAAATCCACGGCAAAGGTGTCGCGAAGAGGAGAACTAAGAAAAAAAGAAAACGTGGTGGCACTATGAAGAAAAAGAAAAAAGTCTCCTTGAGACAAATCATTCGAGCTGCCAAGACTTCTATGCATCCGGGAACCAATGCGATCAAATCGGCTCTCAAAGGGGCACGTGAGGCAGTGAAAGAAAATGGTGGTAGAAAGCGAGTACAACTACCTCGGATCTTACCTGTGCCAGCTAAAATAGGAGGTGTGTTACCCTTTCTCATACCTCTTTTTGCTGGGCTGAGTGCTACTGGAGCATTGGCAGGTGGTGCCGCAGGCATCGCCAAAGCCATCAATGATGCGAATGNGAAAACCTCTCAAGGGGTTAACACCACAGAATATCAAATTTCTAAAGAGTCTAGGGCTCAAACTACGCAAAGGAAAAAGTTAATAAGAAGAAAAATACGTACATTCTTTTGTTGTTGCATCATCTACTGCAATAAGCCATGGAAGAGATCCTGAGAATCCAAAAGCCCATCATTTTTGATGAGTCAATTGCGCATTATGAAATTCATGCGCATCAACCATTTGCGTCAGCGACTTTTAATAACAATGATGAAATTCGTATCGCTGTTCAACATCAAGATCTATGTTTGCTGCCAAGCAAAAGCTCACTGCATGTCCATGGACGTTTGATTAAGACTAATGAGCAACCAGTGACACATACAAGATTAGTGAACTGTGCTATTCTTCATTTATTCGAAGAGATACGTTATGAACTCAATGCTATTGAGATTGATAAGAGTAAGAATGTTGGCATTACAACGCTTATGAAGAATTTTCTGTCACAAACTCCAAATCAAGCTACTCTAATGGAAAATGCTGGTTGGATACTCAAGGACGATGAATCTGCCATCATCAATGAGAATGGTTACTTTGATATTTCTATTCCATTGAGTATGGTATTGGGATTTGCTGAGGACTATGGGCGAATCATAGTGAATGCTAAACATGAGTTGATTCTAACACGAGGAAATACCGATCTGAATGCAGTTATCCAGACGCCAGCAGATGGAGTTGCAGCTGAATCATTCAAACTCTCCCTGGATAAAATTGAGTGGATGATTCCATACATCAAGGTAGCCGATTCTAGAAAAATCAATCTGTTGAATTACATCTCCAAGGATGCACCCATTCCAATCAGTTTTCGAGCTTGGGAATTATACGAGTACCCACTCTTGCCAGCTACTTCTAAACACGTCTGGGTGGTAAAATGCTCAACTCAACTGGAAAAACCTCGATATGTCATCGTTGGATTTCAAACTAACCGCAGAAACCAAGCAAATAAAAATGCTAGCCGTTTTGATCATTGTAATATTCGCGATATTAAACTTTTTCTCAATTCGCAAAGTTACCCCTATGGTAATTTAAATGTTGATATTCCCCATAATCAATATGCATTGCTCTACGATATGTACACTAGTTTCCAGAATTCTTACTATGATAAAGAGGCGGAGCCGCTTTTGAGTAGAGCTGATTTTCTGTCATTTGCACCACTTATTGTTATTGATTGTTCGAAACAGAATGAATATCTGAAATCAGGACCAGTGGATATTCGCCTTGAGTTCGAATCAGCTCAGAATTTTCCTGCACAAACGGTAGCTTATTGTTTAATTCTGCACGATCGNCTTTTCTCAATTCGCAGAGTTATCCCTATGGTAATTTAAATGTTGATATCCCCCATAAACAATATGCATTGCTCTACGATATGTACACTAGTTTCCAGAATTCTTACTATGATAAAGAGGCGGAGCCGCTTTTGAGTAGAGCTGATTTTCTATCATTTGCACCACTTATTGTTATTGATTGTTCGAAACAGAATGAATATCTGAAATCGGGACCAGTGGATATTCGCCTTGAGTCCGAATCAGCTCAGAATTTTCCTGCACAAACGGCAGCTTATTGTTTAATTCTGCACGATCGTATAGTTGAATATAATCCGATTAGTGGAGGAGTGAAAAAATTAATTTAGACATGTACAATAATTATTGGTACCAATTTGTTTATTGTATCATATAAGGTTTTTTTCATAATAAAACACCATATACATATATGTGAGTGATCATTTATACAACATGTTTTTCATTAGAAATTTCTTTTCCTTGTTTCTTGAATTTTTTCCATCGGTGTAATTGATGCAACTGGTGATGTGCCCTTTTTCCATGATTCACCTCTCGATGCTTATCACGTGATCGTTCCTCAACTGAAGACAGTTTATCACGGTCATCAATAGCGGAAGAAGTACTAGGTAATGGTTCATTCTTCTCCTCTTGATCTGAGTAATTAATTTCAATTCGTTCATCAAGTGCCAATTGTCTGCGACGTTGAACAAGTTTCAAGTTCCCCGCTAAATCAAGGAAGTCTTGGAGGAAGTCCCACGCCGTTTGTGGTGGATTATCACCATAATAATGACTGACAATGTCATCGTATTGACAAACATATGGTGGTATAGTATATAACAACTCAACTTCATCTGGAGTCAAGTGTTGCTCATTTTGCGAAGCACATCGACGCTTTTTTATAAGGTTCAAATTCTCTTGTAAGTCGAGAAAACCTTGCAAACAATCCCAAGCTCTCTGTGGTGGATTCTCACCATAATGACGAATAACAACTTCCTCGTAATCGATCAAAAATGGTGGNCTATACAACATGTTTTTCATTAGAAATTTCTTTGCCTTGTTTCTTGAATTTTTTCCATCGGTGTAATTGATGCAACTGGTGATGTGGCCTTTTTCCATGATTCACCTCTCGATGCTTATCACGTGATCGTTCCTCAACTGAAGACAGTTTATCACGGTCATCAATAGCGGAAGAAGTACTAGGTAATGGTTCATTCTTCTCCTCTTGATCTGAGTAATTAATTTCAATTCGTTCATCAAGTGCCAATTGTCTGCGACGTTGAACAAGTTTCAAGTTCCCCGCTAAATCAAGGAAGTCTTGGAGGAAGTCCCACGCCGTTTGTGGTGGATTATCACCATAATAATGACTGACAATGTCATCGTATTGACAAACATATGGTGGTATAGTATATAACAACTCAACTTCATCTGGAGTCAAGTGTTGCTCATTTTGCGAAGCACATCGACGCTTTTTTATAAGGTTCAAATTCTCTTGTAAGTCGAGAAAACCTTGCAAACAATCCCAAGCTCTCTGTGGTGGATTCTCACCATAATGACGAATAACAACTTCCTCGTAATCGATCAAAAATGGTGGAAGTGAACACAAAAACCGCACTCCGTCTGGACTCAACCGATCCATGATTGAAACTGTCAGCAATTCAGAAGCAATGTTCTTTATGAACAGCGAGAGAATACTCCAGAATACGAATTTCTACGTCTATCCCTATCCCTCAGCCCCTATCCCCTCAACCCCTATTCCCACAGACGCTGTCCCCTATCCCCTCAAATCCTATCCCTCAACCCCCTATCCCCTCACCCCTTTCCCCCCCAAACCCCTCATCGCTCGAAACTTCCAGAACCTTCCACGACCCCCCTCCCCTGGAAACCTTCCAGAACCTTCCACCCCTCTCCCCCTCACCCCTCCCCGCAAAACCTTCCAGAACCTTCCACCCCTCTCCCCCTCACCCCTCCCCGCAAAACCTT